CAATAGCAAATGTGATTTTGCTTATATTATAATTAACGAAATGTAAACAATATGATAAACAACACAATAGCGAAAATAGAATTGTTTCAAACATATTATTACCAGAATCGCCGACAACAATAATCTTAACTTTATCGATTGCAGCCATTAATGACTTTTATCAAACCATATGAAAATATATTTTTTCGTTTTTTTGTCTTGTTGTTTGACAGGTAGTCATTTGATAATTTTATATTATGAATACATAACCTAAAAATAATTGTACTTATAAACAAGCGTCCGTGGAATGGTACAGTGCCATTTTTCAAAAAAATAATGAATTTTTTCCTTTTGTTTTATATTTCTCTTAAAAGAATATGTAACTAATATTACGATGTGTATTTTAATTTGCTTGTATTGACATTTATTTGAAATTTTTCCTTATAAATGTGCTATTTATGCGATTTTAAAGGTTAGTATTTTTGTTACAACTTGAATTGAAATTAAAATAATAAATTATATTAAATACTTACTTAAAGAGATAAATTTATGTTATGTGAAAATCATAATAATGCCTAAATATCTTTATTATATTCTCCTTTTAATAATTTCAGTACCTTCTCTGATGATATTTTATTAAATGTAACCACAAACAAAATGAGTGGTGAAGAAAGACTTGTTACAGAAGTTCCCAGTAGTTTAAAACAATTAGCACGTTTGGTAGTACGTGGATTTTATACAATAGAAGATGCATTGATTGTTGATATGTTAGTTAGAAATCCATGTACGTATAGTGTGTGCAAATTTTAATAATTTTATGTTTAATTTGATATGTGTTGAATTATATTATTATATATTTTATTAGGCATGAAAGAAGATGATATTTGTGAACTTCTAAAATTTGAGCGTAAAATGTTGAGAGCTAGAATATCTACGTTGCGTAATGATAAATTTATACAAGTTAGATTAAAAATGGAAACTGGTTCAGATGGAAAAGCACAAAAAGTTAACTACTACTTTATTAATTATAAGGTAATATATTAAAGCACTTCACCTCATTGTTTGTATTAAAAAAATTATTCTATACTTTTATATTTTAGACTTTTGTAAATGTGGTAAAATATAAACTAGACTTAATGAGAAAAAGAATGGAAACTGAAGAAAGAGATGCCACTAGTAGAGCCAGTTTTAAATGTACAAATTGTTTAAAAACCTTTACTGATCTTGAGGTAAGCAAACTATTTATAAGTTTTAAAACACTATTTCTTAAATTCTTTAAATGTATCATAATAATTAATCTTTACATTTTTACTAACAATAAAATACTTACAATGTAATATAGGCAGATCAATTATTTGATATGACTACTGGTGAATTTAGATGTACATATTGTCGTGAAGTAGTGGAAGAGGATCAGTCTGCCCTTCCTAAGAAAGATTCAAGGCTATTATTAGCTAAGTTTAATGAACAATTAGAACCACTTTACATTTTATTAAGGGAAGTAGAGGGTATCAAATTGGCTCCTGAAATATTGGAACCAGAACCAGTTGATATAAATACCATTAAGGGGTATGAACTTTTAATTAAATTATGTAATATGTAGATAAACATTTTTGGTTGTTATTTTCTTTGCTTTTTTTTTAGTATTGATACAAGGAAACCAAGCAGTCTAAGAGCACCTGGTGAACAGTGGTCTGGTGAAGCTACAAGATCATCAGGTTTTATGGTAGAAGACACAAGAGTAGATGTTACAATTGGTGACGATTCTGTGGACGATAATGCGGCAAACAGGAGAAAAGAAAGGCCAATTTGGATGATGGAAAGCACCGTTATTAATTCTGATTCACAGGTAAATTTTACTTTAAAGATTCGATACTAAAAATATTTAAAATACTTTACTAGCCATGTTATACTTCAGCCTGATGGAGTTAATACACAAGAGAATATCTTGGATAAAGCTGCAGCTACTGCCACTAACATAACATCAACAAATAATAAACAAGGTGAAGATATAATGTCTGTATTGTTGGCTCATGAGAAAAAAGGAGGAACAAATTCAGCAGCTGCTATAAAATCTGTACTACCTCAAGAATCTAGTGATAGTAGTGATAATGAAGAAGTTGCTGAAATGCAAACTATTGATACAGGTATGATTTTTATAAAATACTCTAAGTATCACGAAAATTATTATATCAGTACTGTCATTTTAAAAAAATGTATACGTTTTCGAAAATTTTTTAGGAGAAGTGGAAACTATGGATTCTGAGGACGAGGATCTTGTACCAACTGTAACTGTTGCAGGGAAAACTGTTGCCATTGCAGACGTAAATGATGCATTAATTTCAGAAATGACTCCTGTGGAGAAAGAAGCGTATATTCAAGCATATCAAGAATATTATTCTCATATGTATGACTAATCAGAATACAGTCAGCATTGGTAAATATTTCACAATGCTTTGTAAGACTGAGCGGTTATTAAGATTCTTGTAATATTTTGTATAGTCACAAAATAAATAATTTTCTGGGTTTGGTAAAAATTTACTTTCTTCTTTAACCCCTTAACGCTTACATTTTTCTCAATTTGATGTGCCAGAAAGGATCAATTTCATTTTTTTTTTTTAAATTATCTCCTAGGCGAGTAGAAATAAGTTTCCCATTTATTTATAATGCTGTAACTTATATTTTTGTCATAGAATAGAAAAGATAGCGCAATAAGGAAAGTGAAAAAAAATAATTTTTAAAAATTGCACTTTTTGGAGGATTAGTTGTGCACGTGTGCACGGGCATAAGCGTTAAGGGGTTAATGGAAACAATCCGGTAGCTATTTTTGACGAAATATAAAGTAAAAGACCCAAAAGTCAGTATTTTGTAATCTTTATTTCTTTTCTAACATACAGGTATAACTCAACAATGTCATCAGTTTGTAATAAACGAACATTTACAGACACGTTATAATTATAGTAAATCAAAATTAATAGCATACATGTCACTTCTGGTAAGGCGGGATAGTTTTTATCTTAGCCAAGTATAAATTACTTATTAAGCTTACTTAGAATTATTTTTTTTTTCGCCTTTATGTGAATTTCTAACCGACCACCACTACCGGATAGAAATTGTAAGACGATATACATTTTTCATAAAATACTTTTCGCTTTTTTTTGTACTTTTTTTTTATTAAACCTTTCTTGTTATATTAATATTCATTTTCATAGGCCAGAGAGCACATATGGATATTATAATTCTTTTACCTTCTGTACCTTTTTATGCTTGTTTCAAATCTTAGACATAACTCACATCAAAAGAATCTCAGAATCGATGCATTCTACATATATACATTACATTGTATTATTTATTGCTAATTCTATTGCGTTCTGATTTAAATATTCTACATATAATTATGAATCTAAGATTCTTTCAAAGCAAGTATTTGTCTCTTTGCAAATGTTTTGTTTATTCTGGTTCATTCAAGCGCAAACGAGCAAAGTCTTCAAATACGATATTGTCGTCGTCATCGTTTGAATAACAAGAGTTTTCGTAACGTGTCCTTTCAATACTTTTATTCTTCTTCAAAATAGCCTTTTCTTTCTCTGCAGTTCCTGTAGCAAAAGAATGTTTGTTATAAGTATCATGATATAAATTTAAAGGTAAATATTTGAACTAAAATCTGTTTACCAGGAGCAGGATGCATCAATTTAAATGGCACATCCGTAACCAATTCGCCTCCTAAAGTGCCGCAATTCAATTTTACTCGAATAGAGTAAGAGATAACAATACCCATAGCATCATTAGGAGTTTTTCCCTCTGCGACCATAGTTGAAGATGCGAGATTCACGTCATCATCCTATGTATCAAATAAAAATATGGTCAGCAAACAACAAAAGAAAATGAATATAAGTTTCGTATGTTTTCTATAGGATTTTTCGTACCTTTAAATGGCCATCAAGAGCAATTCCACGGCGATCCTTATTACTGCTGGCCAATGGTACAAGATAAAATTGTTTTGTAAAAGATGCACCGGGTGTAATTGGGCAACCTTCACGTGTTTCTAAACTAGCCACATGTCGAGAGAATTGAGTATTAACCATTGTTACCTCGCAATGTTGTACCACAAAGAGCTAAAACATATTGATATTAAGAAGAAATACAAAGTATAATTTTATTACTATACATGTAATTTAAATACCTTGATATTTTTTACTGCCTTTCGAGAGTTATTAGTAACTATAACGTTTGCAGCTACTTTTTCGCCATGATAATAAATTTCCCTGTCTAGTGTAACTTCAAGATTCAGTTTACCCTGAGAGAATGTAAATCCCTTAGAAACCAAAGAGCTAGGTAATTTACGTCCTCTTGTAGGTGGAGCATATTGTAATTTCTTTATGGCCAATGCAACAGACGACCTTTTGTGTCCCTGTATAAAAATTATAAATCATTTTCACATTTACATTTGCAGTTTACTAATAAACTAACATTCAATTGTGATTCCATTATTACCTTATCTTCTTCATGTTCACCGACATATACTTTAATAGTATACTCTACTCCTAATGGTTTTCCTTGATCATCATCACCAGGTTGCAATGTAACAGAGCTAGGTGAACTTTGTGGGAATTGAAACAGGAATGGATATGCATTTGCCCCAAGTCGTTTTAGAAGACGTTCTTGAACAGGTGTCATGTCCTGCTTTTCCTTCTTCAGCGGGACTATTTGCTCACGGCACAAAACGAGTTCCTTGCTGAATTTGACGCCCATAACTTCATCCTCTTCTCGTCCATAGCGGAAAGTTGTTGTCACCTGAACAATTCATAAATAAATTACAAAATGCCCTTTTGATATAAATAATTTTGGATATTAGAATATTTTCCCTACCTGTCCATAAACTTTTCGGCCCTGAAGATAATCATTTTCAACAACAATAATTCCATCAATGGGATCTATACTATCCAGGTGATCAATGAAGTCTCTTTTACCAAGGTAAACCGTGACTTTTCCTGTAATTAACAAATAAACATAGTGAACTTTTAAAATGTGCAAACTTTAAACAAAGTGTTTCAAAATAAGTCATATTTTTTATGATATTACTTTTAGAGAAGTATTGCACTGTTATACACTGATATTTCAATTAAGCTTTAATACTTACCATTTGGAGTAGTCTTCTTGAATACCTTAATGGCTACAACAAAAGCCAAAAACAAGAGAGGAAACATTTGGCACTCTTTCTCCAGTCAAATGAACTAGTAGAAGCTTGTTTCCCTCCCAGAAGTGACACTCCTAGCAAGAACTGGGAACTTCATATAGTCTTGAAGGGGCTTCCTTCACTTGAAGCCATACTACTTAATAGCATTAGTTTATTACACAAGTTAGTTAATGAGATTAAAATACATATGTAAGAATTTTATTACGTGCATTCTCAAACTGATTCAGTAGCTCATGCACTCTCAACTAGGAAAGGTGATAAAAGTCAACAGTATTGTGAAGTTCGTTTTCATAGTATTTTCAATATTTTTGAATTGTTCACATACTATACTACATAATTTTATGAACAGATTTTTTTATATTTGCGTGCAACTATACATTTTTTTTAACATAAAAAAAAAAAAGGCTAAAGTAAGGAAATACACGCATCAGTCTTATATTTATATTTATTTCAATAATAAGTGCTTACATAATATAATATGGAGGTATTTTAATTGAAATTAAATCCCCTGAATCCTTAAGGAATCACTTCGGTATATTTCCGCAAAATTTTTCTTAATGGTAAACAATATTTTTCTCAAGTAGGTATTACTCAACAACTAAAATCACTCGTAATCATTTCCTCTTTCACATTCAGCAGTCAGTATGTATATATATATATGTATATATATATGCATATGTATCACTTGATATATCATGTACACTATTGTATGAACACTAATATTGTGTTCTCAAATTGTTCTGGTAACTGAAAGACACCTTCCTTTTGTGAATGAATAAGGGAACTATTAATGCCATTTTTCAAAATGTAATTTTATACTCGGGGAAACAAAATCTTCCAATGTATAAATATTAGATAATAATACAAATAATTTGTAACGTGCTCACGAAAATTCTTTTAGATAAATGTTTCTTGGTGCTCAATGCTTCTTCAATATAAGTGAACTTCATGCTACAATTAAAAAAAAGCATGCAGCAACCAAGAAAGCCTCATTTGTATTAATTGTAGTTATTCATTATATATATCTGGACTTCTTTTTAAATATAAAAAAAAAAAGAAAAAAGAAAATACCAAAAAAATATGATATAAAAATGAACGATTATGAACTAAAAATTTAAAAATCAATAATAGTAGATATTATATAGTAGAATTATCGCGATAAATACATCTAATAATAGGCACAATTAAAATATAGGTATTATATATTCATTATTTACTGTTTTATTATGCTAAAGAAAGTCGTTGCTATCAGGGAACAGAAATATTTGCGAAATTTTATGAAATCTTTATTTCAAATACTCATTTTTGACAATATATTCGTACAATGCTACAGACTACACCTTATTTTGACTTCTTTACAAATTTTCATATTTGTATTTTAAACAAAAGTATATTTTTTTCTAAAACAATGTGCAATACATACTAGAAATTCAACACAGTTTAAGTAATCATGACAAATCTATAATTAATTAAAAAGTAATTTACTTGAAACTTCAGTGAGTAATTTTTTATCTCAAAACAGAACAAAATCGGTTCTTGCTATTTATTTGAAGTATTCTTGATAATTTAGTTCTATAAGTTATGTACGTTATGTAAGTTCGAACACAACAATTTTTAGGGGAATGTTGCTTGCAGATACATAAAAACAAACATTTTATATCGTAATGGGCGAAATAAGATTTCCTAAATATATTGCGTATATTTATTTCATATTTTGTAGAAGATACAATTAAAATTCAACGAAAACAACTTTCCCCGATATATGGTTCAATAATCTCTCGTCATATGCACAGTACTTTCTGCCAAAAACCTCAATATACATTGTTTTATATTTGCATTACAAGAGTATTTGCATATGGTTGAGCAATATCTAATACATAGTATCATTAAATTAACAAGGAATTATTTGTATCATTGTTTGATATTTCTCAACGCTTTTTGTTAAAATGTGCAAGAAATGAACATTTATCTATTTTTAATTAATTATGTGACGTTACAGAACCCTGTGCAAGTCAAGCTCTTGACTTTAAGCATAGTCATGCACTGCGTGTAACTCCCGTGTTCACGTTTGTACATAACTAGAATCTCGGTACAGTTCCCTGATACCAGCGCATTTCTAACATCAGCCAGTACAAATATTGTTAGTTTCAATAGTATACACTGTAGATTTTTGTAGTATGATTGCTGTTTACTGCAAACCTACTAAACTTACATCACTAATTTTTTTCTTCTTTTTTTTTTTTTTTTTTTTTTTTTTTTTTTTTTTACCAGACACGTTTTTTTTTTCAATGTAAATCATAATATGAATTTTCTTAAAGATGTTCTCGAACGAGGTGATGCTGCATACCTCGACTTAAATTTCAAGCAAAATTTGTCTCACACAGTAGAAATCTACAATCATAAGAAAGTCTAATAGAGAATTGTGTTGAAATCACCAAAGAATTTAACATCTGCTCTACATATTTGAAATCAGGCTTATAATTCATGTATATATCTCACCTAATATTCTTCACAGAAACATGTCCTTATAAATAAGAATCTTGTTTTAGGATAGATCTGAAACATAAAATTAGTTAATACAAAGTACATTTTGAAAGTGTGTTATAAGAAGAATACTTCCACAAACTGAAAGATTAATTTAAATCACTTACAACTTGGCGCAGCTGCAGATTCAAATCTCTTTTGTATCTGATCATAGGTAAATTTGACAAAAGCATCATATTGCTCAGAGAGCTTCATATTTAAAATCTGATCATATTCTTCCCGAATCTGTGTTTCTTGCTCTTTAAGCATTCGTTCACAAATCAAGCCAACCTATAAAATTATTATTCATGTAATAAAATTTCAACTATCTTTTAATATAAATTAGTTTTTTTTTTTTAAACAACTAATGTGTCATATATACCTGTCTGAATGTAAATAAAGGTTTTTCCTTTGCACTAGGGCTATAACTACTTGAATTTGAGACACATACAGATGGGCTTGAAGGACTGGCAGGACCTTCCATGTCTGAAGAATCACCACCATTGTTTTGAGGACTAAAATGTAATTGTTTGCGTCGATGCAGTCTCCGAATCTCTTCTCTTATATTGGCAGCCATCTTTTCTGTATATAAAGAAAATTATTTTCACTAAAAACTTTGTCCTTTTTAAGG